TGAACACCGGTGATTTTAATATAGTTTTTTGATGCCATGGTGGTAGCTACTCGAGGTCGCTAGGTCAGCGAATAGTCACTCAATGAGGAGCCGTAGTTTATATTATTGCAAGTGATCACCTGTACCAATTACTTGACTTGATCTGTAACATTGTCATACGTCGCTCGAAAGCTCTGTGTGAGTCGAACATGGAACTTGTATAAGTCATAGGCATCAATTTCAACGTTTGCATTTTCAAGTGACGATTGCGCAAGCTCATTAAATCAAGACACATCAATGTCAAGATTAACAGTCGTCACGAGCTTCAGTTTACGGAATTCGATTGCTGTTTCTTGTGTCATTCATCTCTTCATATGACATATCACTGAAAGCCCTCTGTGAGCACAGCGCGCAACTTTTCTCAGAACACCGAATTTATCAGAGTAGAAAACTGTTTAATGATATCACTGTGTCGATCACTTAGTTGCGAGTTAAAATCTAGATAGCTGACAGGTGGATATCAGTATCAGATGTTTAATGTAATCATCATTGTATTGTATTTTGCAACTTGGACATACGGGCCAAAATATGGCCATATTTTTCAGCACAAAGAGCACACAATAAACAAAGTAAAAACGGAATACATAAGAACATGTTAAACGGTAGTTAAATTAAGCAGCTGTTAACACAGTATATCAGCTAACGGCGATAGTTCCTTCAGGATGTGAGCCAAGGAAGAAATCACTGATCTCAATTTTGTCTGACAATAAGTGTTAAAAATCCTTGACCTTGATCTTGCACCTAGGTGTAGGGACACACAAGGCATCAGAGCAAATGGAAAGCATGATCGCCGTCACAGAGAATGCTTGCCCAAGAATAGCAAGTTTTCAGACGTCTTTTACAAACTTTTTGAAGAAAACTCTAAAATTTAAGTAACCCTTAAATACCGCTGTTCGTGAGGGTCAGGCGCAGAATACGAAGCTCAGTTTTGTGAAGTCCAGGAAAGAAGATGGGAAAGCACACGTAAAAAATAAAAGTTTGCACGAATTGCTAATAAGTTGCAGAAGGAATTTTGGTGCCTCTACATGCCTCAGACGAAGATAGCACACCTTCTTCCGCGTTTTATCAGCAACCAGGCCAGCTTACCAAAACAAATTGATACAGAGAGACCCCAAAATACTTCATAGACTTTACAAGTTTAATCTCAGCATAATCAGTATTAGAAGAAACGTTGAATAGATGTACAAATTAAGAATTTGTTGCATTCTTATTTATATGGCACATATGCTGGCATTTTTCTGAATTAAGTCACAGTTAAATATCAGTTTAACCTCTAAGGAAGGCGGACAGGTTATTTTGGTGAGTGAGAAGTAAAAAGATATTAGTAATAACTGTGATGATTATTGTTTCATCTGCAAATTTGATAAAGCATGAAGTGGCGATAAGAATTAGGTCGCAAATGTAGAAGATGAAGAA